GAACCCCAGAGAAAAGGAAATACAGAACTGATGTTGATGCTGATCCCTGGCTGTGGGCTGTGTGTGCTCCCATCCCCTGACCCACCTCACTGGCCCTGAGAGGGTCAAGGGCCACATGTTCTTTCTCACAGCACTGTCAACACATTCCTTACTGTGGGCAATGTGTTTCACTACCTCGTGCAGGATCTTACACATATCTTGCCTTACAAATGGTTACTGAATGTTTAGATGGGCAAGATGATGGATGGATGGATGGATGGATGAATGGATGAATGGATGGATGGATGGATGAATATGATGAATGAGTGGGTGAATGTGATGAATGGATAGATGGATGAGTGGGTGGGTGGGTGAGTGGAGGGTGGATGAATGGGATAGGTGTGATTATGAATGGATCAATAGATCAATGAGATGAATGGGTGCATGAATGGATTTACAGGTGAATGGGTTGGTGAATGAATATGATAGATGTGTGGATGGATGTGACTACGGATGGATCAATGGATGGGATGTATAAATATGATGGGTGGATGTATGAATAGGTATGTGAGTGGGTGAGTAGTGTGTGGGTAGATGGGAAGATAGATGGATGGATGAATTGATGAGTGAGGAGATAGATAGAAAGCTGTGTGGGTCGTTAGATGAGTGAATAAGTGAATGGATGGTGGACTTAGTAGATGAGTGTGTAGATGGATGGTGAATGTATGGATGGGAGAATGTATGGATGTGGATGATGCATGGATGAATAGATGAATGAGTAGATGGGTGGATATAGTGCATGGATGAAAACATGGTTTGACGGAGAAGGATGACTAGAAAGCTGGATAGATGAATGAGTGGGTTGATGAGTGGATAGGTAAGTAGGAGGATGAGTGGATGGATGGATGAAGGGACTGGTTAACAGTTGGAGGAATGAATGTATGAGTAGATATAAATGGGTGGACAGATGAATACATGTATAGAAAAATGGATTGACACATATATGCATTAACAGACAGATGAATGGACAGGCAGATGGAGTAGACAGACAGATCTCTTCAAGAGTAAAAAGGCTGTTTTCTGTAGGACTCAAGAGATCTAGTTCCAACCTCTTCTGCTCTTTGGCCTCACCCAATGAGTCACCATCTGTGACCCTGCTTCTTCATCAGATGAGCATAGGAACTGGATCCCACTGGTTTCCCAGGAAGTCTGGAAGATTTCAAGGCCAGTGGGAAATCCATCCTATGAACCTTCCTATGAAGGTTCTTCCCTTGGATGGGAGACAGCCAGTCATTGATGTCCTGGAGAGGCCAGCAAAGCACACTAAGTATTGGGTTCCGTCAGCTTGTGGAGATGCTGAAGACTGCCACCCTGCTGGGATCTACTGCTGGGTCTCCAGTGGACAGTACCCTCACTGTAGTCTACACTGACCTCTAGGCAGGAGAGCTAGCCACTTCTACTAGGATTTGTAGCTGCCTTCCCTTATTCTAAAGTTGTCCCTGTCTCCTGAGGTTGCTAAGACATAGCCACAAAGACCTGCCCTTACCTGATTGGACAAGGAAGAGCAGACTGAATTAGGGGGACTTTGTAGCTAAAGTGAGAGCCAAGAGACTAAAGGACCCAGATGGGAGCATGCACCTGGAGACTTCACAATAAACTGACTGATGTTGTGATGGGCTGAAAAATGCTGGCTAAGGTGGAGTCCCTTTTGGAAAGCTAGGGGACAACACTGAGGTAGCCCAATACCCTCCTTCATCCCCTACACACACCTGCACCCTCCCACCACAGGACCTTGGTATATATTGGATCTTCTGGAAGCTACAAGTTTGCATGGCTGATCAGATGCAGATGTTAACTTGATGATGATTGTGTACACTGGTTGTTTAAGTGTATGTTCCTGGCATGTGTATGGGTACCTGAAGACCACAGATGTGACTTCTGTCCTGGTTTGCTTCCTATTGTGATAAACACCGTGACCAAAAGCAATTTGGAGACAAAATGATTTATTTCAGCTTACACTTTCATGCTATAATTCATCATTGAGAGAAGTCAGAGTTGGTACTCAAGGCAGGAACCTAGAAACAAACTAAAGCAGAAGCCATGGAAGGGTGCTGCTTTCTGGCTTGCTCCAAGTGGCTTGTTCAGCCTGCTTTCTTTTTCTTTTTCTTTTTCTTTTTGTTTTGTTTTGGTTTTGTCTTTGTTTGGTTGGTTTTTCAAGACAGGGTTGTTCTGTGTAGCTTTGGAGCCTGTCCTGGAACTCACTCTGTAGCCCAGGCTGGCCTCGAACTCACAGAGATCCGACTGCCTCTGCCTCCTGAGTGCTGGGATTAAAGGCTTGTGCCACCATCGCCCTGCTCAGCCTGCTTTCTATATCATCCAGAATCACCTGCCCAGGGGTGACACCACCCACAGTAGACTCGACCCTCCGAATTCAGTTATTAAGCAAGACAATGATCCCAGAGACTTGCCCACAGGCCAGTCTGATGGAGGCAATTCCTCACTTGAGATTCTCTCATCCCAGGTTACATCTAGGTTTGTGTCAAGTTGACAAAGGTCAACCAGCACAGCATGTAAAAGCAGTAGGAGAGAGCCAACTTCACAACGATGCCCTCTGAGCCGTACACGTTAGCCCAGAGCAGACACGTGCTGCACACAATAATAATAATAATAATAATAATAAACATTCATAGAACAGTGGTAAGTGCACAAACATGCTCACAGGTCAGAATGATGGAGGCATTTTCTCAACTGAGTTTCCTTTCTTCTCAAGTGTCTCTAGTTTGTGCTAAGTTGACAAAAAGCAACTAGTACACCCTTTCTACAGGAGCCAAAGTGTGTGGTGGGGCTGAGCGTGTGGTGGGGCTGGAGAGGGAGGAGAGTGCACTTTTCTTGGACCTGAGATAAAATAAAAGGACAAGAGCCAGAAGCAGGAGGGAGAGATATGGAGAGCGCCAGTGGCTGGAGCAGACAGGGGACCGAGGTGGGACAGCCCCATGAGCTTGCCTCAGAAGTTCCCAGCCTGCAGACTGTGGGAAGCTCTTTCTTGGTCAGTGCCCGTCAAACTGATTTACGGGCCTTGCTGTCTGCCGTGTGCCGGCCATTAGCCACCGCCACCAGATCTATTATTGATGAACTTTCCAGGACCTGCTAATTAACTGTGAGCCCATGGCGGTCATCGGGGCAAGTGGCAGCAGAAATAGAGGCAGGAAGCCCAGCCAATGTCACGGCCACAGCATCCTGGGCAGACCACAGACTGGTTCTGCCTCCTGGGTGGTAGGGAGCCCAGGTAACAAGGCTACAGGCACCCCCATCTGAGTTGGGGCAAGGCAGATGGGATTCTCTACGGCTCCGATTCTGAGTTCAGGCTCTACAGGAATTCAATCTCTGCAAGCCTCAGTTTCCTTGGGAAAATGGAAGTGAGAAAAGCAGTTGAGGGAGGACCTGAGAACTCAGATTCCCTGGAAGACATACAGGGCTCTGAGAAGAAGGTGTCCTGGGGATGAGGGGCCCTCCTGGGCTGCACCGGGAACTGACTATCTCCTCCCAACTGGAGCCCGTGTCAGGGCGGGACTCAGGCAAACACCCCAGGCCGTTGGTTCAGCAGCTGAGGTTGTACTGCCCGCCAACACCATCACACTCAGAACCAAGCAAGGACCCCAGAGCAAAGGGGATGCTGAGGCAGTCAAGATGGAGGAACTGATTTCAGACTGGGGGTCTAGAGGAGTTTCTGTGGGCAGCTGGAGAAGGAGCTGGAAGCGTCCGTTCAGAACTGCAGAAGCTTGCCAGGCAATAAGAACAGCTGGAGCAAAGGCCCCGTGGCAGGAGAGAGGAAGGCAAGGCATGACAAGAGCCAGCACAAACTCCTCCTGAACAAATACACCAGGACCAACGAGGCCATGGAGGGAAGAGGGCTTAGGAAAGACGCCCAGGGCCACCAGGGACGTGCGTACCAGACGGGGGCATGGAGAGAGATATCCAGAGCTGTCCACCAGCAACTCCTCACCTAACGCTCGTTCAGCAACCATCTGACCCCCACCCTCCCAACTTCACCATGCAGTTAGTTCCTATGGACTGAATTCACCATCTGCCATTTCTGCCATGTTCCAGAGCAGGAGGGAGAGATTCCCGATGACAGGCAAGGGTCCCCCCCCCCCAATAGGTTCTCACTTTACAAAGGAGGAAAGTGAAGCTCAGACAATGTGAGCGACTTGTCTGAGGCCACACAGCTGAATCCACCCCAGCAGCAAGTACCCTGGGGCAAGAGCCAGGCAAGCCCTCACCCTACTTCATCTGTGTGCCCCCCTGCAAGAGGTGGGGAATCTTTTCACATTCCTTAAATGGGCCCAGAACCTGTTTGAACCGGAAGAGCAAACTGAAGGGACAAAGTGTGTCTGCAGAGCATTTCCTTTGGCCCAGGAGGGGCCCTTTTCTATCTGGATTTGCATAATCTTTATCTTACTGGTTGGGATTGTCCCCTTTGGCCTCCCTGCTACCCACAAGCAGCGCCCAGGTTATTTCTACAGCTACAACAGGCCCCTGGCCAGCTATGCACACCTTTTATCCTTGGGTACAGCATACCTGAGAATCAGGGAGCCCAGCAGAGCCAGGGGACAGCTGAGGGGCAGAGGAGAGGAGGGGTCCTGGATGGAGTTAGGTCTGAGGGAAGCCTGGCTTTAGGTCACCCCCCAGGAGGGGCCTAGGGACCCAGACAAATGTGTCTCAGATAGCAAATCAGAGACAGCTTTCTCGCCAGATGCTACCTCTGTGAGGTGGGGTTCAGGACATGTGACCCCAAATAAAACAGCTGAGGCCCCAAGGTCACTCACCCCCGAATCAAACACGCTACCGCTAGATGAGGTCCCCTACACCCATTGACAGCACACCCCAGCTGTGAGGCCACAGGAAAACCTGCCACACAGGCCAAGTCCCCAGTTCACATCCCAGGCCTGGGGCCAGCCATGGGTCCCCCAGATGACCCATCCTCCTCACTGAGTCTAAAACTGCAGGAGCAGGTCCCCTACCTTTCAGCCTCCCCTTCTGCCAGGTGTCACACAAGGCTTGTTAAATAAATCTCCCTGTGTAGCCTGTTGTCCTGTCTTTTCTTCTAGGGTCCTCTGATGGGGATGTTGTTCTGTACGCTGTGAATATGTGTTGCTCTGATTGGCTGATAAATAAAGCTGTTTGGCCAATGGTGAGGCAGAATAAGGTTAGGTGGGACATTCTAACTAGAGATAGGCAGGAAGAGAAAGGAGAGGCAGAGGAGATGCTGCTAGCCACTGCCAGGAGAAGCAAGATGTAAAGGTACCAGTAAGCCACGAGCCACGTGGCTAAGATAGATTTATAGAAATTAGTTAATTTAAGATGTAAGAGCTAGTTAGCAAGAAGCCTGCCATGACCATAGTTTAAAAATAATATAAGCCTGTGTGTGTGTTTACTTGGGTCTGAGCAGCTGCAGGACCAGAAAAATTACAGCTATAGGTCCTCAGTCAGGGACTTCTAATACAAGGGGAAAGTCCTCCCTCGAAGCTATGGGAGATAGACCAGAACTGGCTCCTGGATTACCCTGAGAGGCCTGTGTTGTCCATACTCCCCGCCTCCCCTCCCCCAGCCCACTCTCTGGGATCCTCTCTAGCACAACCTTGGGGTCCACGGGACATGTGTCACAGTCGGGAGTCATCTCATGACTGTTCCTCTGCTCAGTCGGAAGATCCGTAGGGCAAGGCCCTTTCTAGCCCACTGCAGGTCCCAGGGGCCAGCCCAGCACTGAGCACACAGCAGGGAGCTGCTAAATGTCAGCAGATGGATGATGGAAGGGCACATGTGTGGCACCCTCCTGGGGCAGGTGAGGCCTGAAGACCACCAACGCACGGAGCCTGGGCAAGGAGAGAACAGACTTCTCCAAAGGCCATCCCTCCCCGCAGTGGCCCTTGTATGGCTTCATTTGCTTCCTGTGTCTTTAAAGGGACCGGTCTTTAATTTTGATAAGCCACTTTTTATCAGTGTTTTGAACTGCAATTTATTATAAGCAAAGATAGCTCACTGTTGAATCAAGGAACCAAAGGTCTTAATTGCCCGGCTGTCCCAACACCCTGTTCTAAGAGGCATCCCAGGCAGGACACCCACTGCAGGGCCTGGAGAATCCCAGGCTCTTCTTTCCCTGAGGCTCAGTGGCATCTGTCTCCCTATGTGTAAACGGCCTCAGCCCAGTTTCTTCCAGAACCTTCCAGTCCTTGGAAGGAGCATAGATCAAGAGGCATCTAGCCCCTCATGGCCTCCCACCTTGGGCCAGGGGTTTGGGCCGGCACCATCTGCTGCTCTGGATCTTCCAGATGGGAATAAAGTTGCTGGACCAGAGGGCTGTCTGTCCTTCTGGCTGTGGGAGACCAGGGAATGAGTCATCCCACCTGTGCAGGGACCTGTAGTAAGGGACACAGCAGAGATCCCTGTCCTAATGGATCTGGCTATGGGAGGACAAAGAGGGGACACGCTATGCTGTCTGTCTAAATCTGTGACACACATTCATGCTCAGGTACTCACACAGGCCCTGGCCACCATACTCATGCTTTCTACTCACCAACTTAATTTATAGAGATGATCTTCGATCCCGAGGTCTCCAGACCCCCTAGTGATTCTTTGAGAAGCCCTGCACCCTCCAACTCCATCCAAGATGGCCAAGCAAGAGCTAAGGATGTTTCCTTGTATTGCATCAAGTGACATTTGGATTCGGTTTTCTACCAATTATGCACGGAGAGCTAGGAGACTGAGTGGTTATTATGCACCTGACATTATACAATGTGGCAAAGCTGTTCCGCTGGCATTTCTGTGTGAGACCTGAGGCTGTGGGACCCATGGGGACAAGAAAGCAGAGCCCCGTTCAGCGCCAGGACCCAGCTCAGCTGGCCCCTGAGTGGCCAGGAGCATTGAAGCCCGTCACTCAGTAACCTTCACCTGCTAATGGAGTGAGAAGCACAGGCTGGGTGGGGTCCTCTTTTAGGGGTCAGAACCTGGGCCCTCCTGCAGGTTGGGGTGGAAAGAGGAGGCCGCCCAGGTCCTCCAGAATTCTAGGATGTGTCTAGAGGTCTGACAGTACATGGATGAGGGTCGTTGTTCACTCCTTCATTCTGGGAGCCCGTGGGCGGGTCCGTCTGCGTGCTATTCTGGGGGCTGGGCAGAAGAGCCTGGAGCTGACACAGTGACGGGTGTTTATGAGCAAGTGAATGAATGAATGAATGAATGAATGAATGAATGAATGAATGAATGAATGAATGAATGAGTAAAGGCTAGAAATGCACTGTAGGCAAGTGTTTGCCGGAATAGAGGCCAAGCCCCAAAGGTGGGCAGGTGTCTCCAGAGAGGAAACGGCGGAGGGGCTGGTCTGTGCCCTGTGCCCATTTACTGACACAGAAAGAAACGCCATGAGGGACAGAGCTCCAGGAGCCCAATTGATGAGAGAGAGGAGGGATCATATGAGCAAGAGATATCGAGACCATGACTGGAAAAAGCACAGGGACAAATAGTCAAACTAGTGGAAACACATGAACTGTGAACCAATAGCTGAGGAGCCCCCATAGAACTGGACCAGGTCCTCTGGATAAGTGAGACAGTTGATTAGCTTGAACTGTTTGGGAGGCCCCCAGGCAGTGAGACTGGGGCCTGTCCTTAGTGCATGAGCTGGCTTTTTGGAACCTAGGGCCTATGCTGAGACATTTTGCTCAGCCTTGGTGCAGGGAGGAGAGGACTGGAGCTGCCTCAACTGAATCTACCAGGCTCTGCTGACTCCCCAAGGGAGACCTTGCCTTGGAGAAGGTGGGAATGGGGGGTAGGTTGAGGGGGAAAGGCTGGGGGTGGGAGGAGGGAGGACAGGGGAATCTATGGGTGATGTGCAAAACTAATAGAAAATCTCTTAATGAAAAGAAAAGGAAAGGAAAAAAACAGCATGTGGGGCTGGGCGCTCAGTGATGGTGGGCTCACCTAGTGTGCCTGGGATCTGGAAGAGAGGGGGAGAGGCAAAGAGAAAGTGGGATGGAAAGAGAGAGGAAGGGGGAATAGAAAGAAGAGGAGGAGGAGGGAAAAAAGACAGGGAGAAGGACATATTGCCACCAGGGTTGGCAAGGCCTCCATTGGGGTCATCTTTAGAGCACAGGGCAGACTCTGATGGTGCTTGGTGGGTCCCTCAGGCACACTGACCAGGGCTGGCTTAATTTCTGTGTTGACAGGCAGTGACCCACTTCCCTGCAAGGTCTCTGCCTCACCTGCCAGCCGTGGGCTAAGGACTCAGCACTCCGAGGTCCTGCCTCCCTGTCTTCCCAGCCTAGCCAGGTTCTAGTGAACATGGAGCCTTCCCCCTGTCGTGAGAACAAGACTCATTTCAGCTCTAACATGCCAGGTGTTTGTGAAGGGGCAGTCTGGGCCTCTCACCCAAGAGGCAACTGATCTAGAAACACAGGTACCAACACTCGGAGGGAAAACCACCCAACATGCACCCTTCCTTGTCCCAGAAGCAGACGCGCCCCCTGCTCCCACCCTGTCTCATGTGACATATCTGTGGGGTTCCCAGGGATCCCTCAGTACAACACTGGCATGGAGCAAAATGAGAGGGTATGGGCATGGCTCGGCCACAGAACACTTGCCCAGTGTGGGCAACAGCTTGACGCCAATCCCCAGGATTGACAGAGAATGGTTCCTCCTCCAGGGGGCAGGAGACAGAGATGCCCTGAGGCTGAGGTTCCCTGGGGCTCCAGGCATGGGCACTGCCTCCTGCCATAGCCTGGGGCTTGGCTTGCTGGGTGAGTGTCACAGAGCCCTGTTTCTTTGGCCGTCACCCAAGGCTTCTTACGGTATCAGCTGGTAATACAGAATGGAGAAGCCACCAGGGACAGGAGGGCCACAGCCTGCATCGCCCCTACAGCACATTCAGAAAGTACATTTGGTAGCCAGGCATATTAGCAGCGAAGCAGGACAACCTAGAGTCTGAGGTCAACCAACAGTCAATCAATCGATCAGTATAAGCAAAAGGGCCCAGGTATCAGCAGCCTATGTGGGAAACGATCGTACATGTCCCCCAAACAAATGGGTTGTCCAAAACACTGGGCAGAGGGGGGTATTGTCCCAAACATGCATTTAAGTCAGGAACTGAATCGGTTCCTCGAATTTCAGAACCTGTTGGAAGATTCCAGAGGCAGATAGGTAGATCCTGACCACAGGTGCCTGGGAGGAGGCTGGCTTATTGGGTACAACCCACTTTCCCAAAGGATGTCACCCCAGCCAGTTACCATCATGCGAGGGTCCATCCAGAGACATGTCACGTGGTTAAGATGTGGACAAGGTGAGGCAGGAGGTTTCGGGGGACCTTGTCTTCAGTGTGTCCTTCAAATGGGCCTGGGAATTGGCTGGGCAGGCACTGGAGTAGAATACACTTGCAGTGCATTTGGACTTGAGTCTGAGAGCTTTCTCTGAACATCTTCAAGTCTCAAGGTGGAAGAAACAGAGAGGGAAGAGGAAGGCCCTGGTGAGACTCCCCCATATCTTAGTAGGTTTTTCCCACAAATGAACGAAAATACCTTTACACTGGGTAGGATCAGGGCACTTCCAACTCCCTCTGTCCCCACCACATACAGCCAGTCTATACTCCCTTCTTGTTTCATGGCTGAAATTCCTTTAAGAGGTTGGCTGGCTTTGTTTGTTTATCTCTTGTGGAACATTATTTTAAGGTAACGTGTTGCTTTTGTTTATGTTGCATTTGTTTACCTCTGTGAAGCTGTGTGACTGTGCCTGTCTAGAACACCTAATGGTCTAATAAAGAGGTGAGCGGCAAATAGCGAGGCAGGAGAAAGGATGGGCAGGGCTGGCAGGCAGAGAGAAGAAATAGAAGGAGAAATCTCAGAGAAAGAAAGAACAAGAGAGAAAGGAAAGGACTTCAGGGGCCAGTCTCCCAGCTACACAGCCAGACACAGAGTAAGAAGGGAAGAAAAAATATACAGGACTAGAGAAATATAAAAGGCCAAAGGCCAAAGATAGATGGGATAATTTAAGAAAAGCTGGCAAGAAACAAGCCAAGCTAAGGCCAGACATTTATAAGTAATAATAAGACTCCATGTGGATTTATTGGGAGCTGGGTGGTGGGCTCCCAAAGAGCAAA